GTCCCCGAGGGCATGCCAGCGGGCCTCACGGAGCCGCCGGGCGCCGCTGCTCCGGTGGTCGCGAGCGCCTCGGGGACCGTAAGCATGGCCCCCGCCGCCACGCTGCCCGTGCGGGTGGAGAGCACCCCGGGGGCCCTGGGTCCTGTGACTAAGGCTCCTCCTGGCAGTGTCTGCGTGGAGTCCGTGGCGCCCCAGCCCCTGCCATCCTCAGTGGGGACTCTAGTGACCAAAGTGGTTCCTGTCACGGCTCTTCCTAAACTCGGCAGCCCCCGGCTGCCAGCTCCTCAGATAGTCACCGTGAAAACTCCTGGCACCACGACAATCCAGCTGCCTGCTAATTTGCAGCTGCCTCCAGGTATGTTTATCACCTCTGCTCGCCCGAGGTGACTCGGGGACCGGGCAGCCCCCCGTATCTCCGAGGAACTTCCTAAGGTTGATGTTGCAGCTAGCGTGTGGGCGGTGCTTTGGGCTTAGCATTCATGCAACCTCTAGGTTCATCTCTGCGTTTCGTATTGAGGAAAACAATCTTTGCACCCTCTGGACACAGTCAGACTGGCAGACGCACGTTCTAGACGGCCCTGGAGGCGTTGTCTGGCACCCCAATGGGGACGTAGAGACTAGCTGGAGTTAATTTTCTTGTGGAGAAAGGACCAGTAAAATGATGACTTTTTAAAAGAAAGGGTTTTGAAACTTAAGACGAAGGGGTTTCTTAATTTAAGCAAGTTAGAATAAGTTTACAGCAAAAGTGATTACTTTTTTACCCCCTTTGAGATATGATCTCTTTTAGTCCGGGCTGGCTTTGAATCTTCCAGTGTAGGGAGGGTGACCTTGAATTCCTGTTGTCTCCTTCCAAGTGTGGGATTATTTGTGCGTGCCACTGCACGCACCAAATTCATTGACCAAATGCTGCTTTCTACATCGTCTGAGTGTGCAAAAGATTCCTTTTGGTAGGGAACAAGTGGCCGGGTTGACAAATCGGAAACCTGCAACTGTTGTATTTGATACGATGTGAGAGTGTTAATGAGTCTTTGGCTGCTTTTTCTCCACTGGAGACTTGATTTGGGCTGTTTTGCTTTGTGATATTTTACATGTTGTAAATGTCTGAATGTTGTGTTGTCATGTGTTCCTTGATTGAAAAATATCTTGAATTCATCCTCCATTTGCTAAGCAGAAAGTGGAAATGGAATATATTGGTAGTTAGCAATAAAAAACTATCTGTCAAGAGAACCATGGTTAAGCCGAGCGGTGGTGGCACACATTTTTAATCCCAGCACTCTGGCGGCACAGAGGCGTGTACATCTCTGAGTTCAAGGACAGCCTGGAGTACTGAGTGAGTTCTAGGACTACCAGGACTACACAGAGAAATCCTGTCTCATCCCCCCCCACACACACACCAGAAAGAGAACCTTGATTTGGATGGTAAAGAAGTGGAAGTGGAAACATTAATCGAAAAGATTTCTTTAGTATCCCCTAGCAAAAGGAGAGAGTGTGTATAATAGTTTTATGTTAACTTCACACAAACTGAAGAGGAAGTTTCAACTGCAAAAATGCCTTCCTTCTTAAGATAGGGCTGTAGGCAGGCCTGTAGGGCACATTCTTAATTAGTGATTGATGGGAGAGGGCCAGCCCATTGTGAGTGGTGCCTTCTCTGGCCTGGTGGCCCTGGGTTCTATAAGAATGCAGACTGAGGGAGCAAGCCATGGGAGCAAGCTAGTAAGCCTCTCCCCTCCATGGCCTCTGCATCAGCTCCTGCTTTCAGGTTCCTGCCCTGCTTGAGTTCCTGTCCTCAATGATTTTGCTGAAAAACTTTATATGAAACTGAGTGAAGTAAAGCCTTTCCTCCCTAGGTTGCTTTGGTCATGGTGTTTTATGATAGCAATGGTATCCCTAATTGAGACTGGGAGTGAATACTGTATTTGTTTATGGACATCCTGAGCACATTATGCTCTCCACATTTCACACACTCTGAGTACAAGTGGAGTACACAGGGTACCTCTAAAACAGTAGTCATTGGATACAGTGTTTGCCAGTTGTAAATTGTTATCCTGCCTACAGTCTTACAAAGTAGTGGTGAATGTATTTGAATGAAATTACCTGCTGATTTGTTACAATATACATTCTTGTCTAGTCTTTGAGGTTTTTTTTTTTTTTTAAGAAACGGTCAAAAACTATTAAGATAGAAAATTGTCAAGAGGGAAAGCTTGTTGATTAGTTGTAGCAAGTTATTAACCGAGGGCTAGCCATGGTAGTCATATCTATTCATTCATTTCTAAACAGGGTTTCACTGTAGCTTTGGAACCTGTCCTGGAATTCACTCTGGAGACCAGGCTGGCCTCGAACTCAGAGATCCACCTGTCTCTGCCTCCCAAGTGCTGGGATTAAAGGTGTGCACCACCACTGCCTGGCACCATGGTAGTCACTTTTAATACATTATTTATATTTTTATTCTCTCCTCATAGTGGGAAGCTAGCAAAAGGAAAAAAGGTCTGTAAGGGTAGATAAATTCCCAATGCCAGGCAAGTAACTCATTGAAGCCAGTGGTACTTTGAATCCATGTCTATTTAGCTATACTCTGTATACATTGCTGTGTTTGCCACATGAATGTGTAAAGTATACTTCATGGCGTGTCAGTGCTGAAAAGTAACACAAATTTGTGAGTAAAACTTCTCTTTACTTTTTTTTAAAAACTTGTGTATACAGTGTTCTGCCTGCATGTATGCTTGCACACCAGAAGTGGGCACCAGATCTCATTACAGATGAATTCTGGGAACTGAACTCAGGACCTCCGGAAGAGCAGCCAGTGCTCCTAACATCTGAACCATTTCTCCAGCCCCAAACTTTTATTTTCTAAATCAAGAAATTCAAACTGAAATGTCCTTGAGTTTCATTATAGCAAAATAAGATCACAGCCCAAGTCTTAAACGAGTTGCTTGGGGGAATTTCTACTGGTGTGTAGCAGAAGAGCCAATAGATGAAATGACAGTGATTTATTATGGTTTATAAATTCTGTGCAATTCAGATGTGCTGATAATTAACAGTTACTCAAGAATGTGTATGTCAGTTCTGAATTTACCATGATAAATGCCTTTGAGTACTTATTTTGGATTTTCCCTTGAGTAGAACTTGTTTTTAAAAATATTTAAACATATGAATATTTGTTCAGGTCAGAGGGTGCACAACTCTGTAATTTGAGCACTTGAGAGTTCAAAGACCATGTTCAGGCCTGTAACCCCAGTGAGGAGGCTGAGGCAGGAGGATTGCCTCAGGTTTGAGGCCACCCTGGCCTAGTGTGAGACCCTGTCTCAAAGCTAGTAACTAGGTAAATGATTTGACTGCTAAATGCGCTAGCTTAAAATATAGTGATATTTTATTTATATTTTAGTAAACAAAGCTTGTCTGAAGCTCAGAGGGTAAAAGTAAGCCACTAGAGGCCAGGCAGTGGTATCTCACACCTTTAATCCCAGTACTAGGGAGTCACACGTCTTTAATCCCAGCACTAAAGGGGAATATAAGTCTGCAGTAGCCCAGCGTTGGTAGAGGTAATACTTCTCTAGTGGCATGGCTGTTTTGCTTTTCTGATCTTGAACCCCAATATCTGTCTCTGGATTTTTATTACTCGTGCTACAAACAAAACCTGAATTTGTTCCCTTAACACACTGGTTCTCAAACCTCCTAATTCTGAGACCCTGTAATATAATTTTCATGTTGTGACCTACAACCATTAATTTGTTTCATTGCTACTTCATAACTAATTTTGCTTCTGTTATGAATCATACCGTTTGCAGGATATCTGATATGTAACCCTTGTGAAAGGGTTGTTCCATTCCTATAAGGTCGCGTCTGACAGGTTGAGAACCACTGCCTTAATAGAACCCATGCAAAAAGCTGGATGCAGTGGTATACATCTTTAATCCCTGCCATCCTAAAGTGAGATCAGAGACAAAGACAGGGAAAGAGAGAAATGACTCCCTGAAAGTTATCCTCTGCCTTTTATGTACATGTTCCTCTCTACACTAAATAAATGAATCTTAAACAGAATCATGTTTAAACATGTACAACTACAGGTTCTTTAAGGAGTAAGGTTTAAAAATAAAAGATAAGGGGGGCATTTATGGGGAAACAAAAGGTTTCTGTCTTCAATATTTTCTTTAGTGAACATGTAGGACTTATAGGTCCAATTGTGGTCATTTCTGTGTCAGTTTAAAGAGTAGTGTCATTGCCATGGTTCATTTTTCTTTCTATATCTGTAGTTACTCTTCCAGTGTAGCATGAGGGCCGGCTTGTTGGGGTTTCTGTCCCTCCCAGTACCCCAACAGCCAGCAAGCAACAAAGAAAATCACTCACAAGATTCCATAAGGTTATAAACTGATTGGCTCATTAGGTCAGGCTACTTATTAGCTCTTATAACTTATGTTACCCCATTATTCTTATCTACCTTAGCCATATGGGCTCATTACCTTTCTCAGTGTGACAGCTTACATGTTGCCTCTTCCGTGGTCTGCGCAGGAATGCTGAGGGAGCTCTGCTTCCAGAATACTCCCAGTCTCTTTGCTCCACCCCTACTTCCTGTCTGGCTTTCCCGCTTATACTGCCTGCCTGGCCAATCAGCGTTTTATTAAAATGATTGTCAGAATACAGACAATTCTCCCGTATCATTTCCCTCTTTTTTTTTTTTTTTTAAGATTCCTTCGCTTATAAAATTCCTCCTCCAACCCTCAACCCTATACTAATTATAACCAACCCCTAAATGATGTCCCTAAACCCAAGGACAAACTTAACTGGGAGAGGGGACGTCGTTTTCTAGAATTACTTCCTGCTGTCATGGGGGCGACGTTCTTTCTGGGGGATCCTGTGAAAGCAAAATGATGGTTAAATTTCAAGATCGATGTCTTTTAAAATTGCAAATAGTCTCTGAGTATTTTGTGGAGGACTGGCCAGAATGTTGTACAAGATGTGCATCATTTCAGCTAAACACGTTGGAATCGTCTTGTGCAGCTGGTACCCAAAACAGGTCTTGTAGTAGCGCTATCAGTATCATGATGTCATATCAACCAGGTGGAATTGTTGTTATGGGGCCCTATCTTCTTCCTGGAAACTTCAAATGTCATTGAAGGAAAAACTTATTGTTTATTGTGGAAAATTTAAACATTAATCATATATATTAATCATATATTAATATCATATATTATATGATTATAATAATATATAATCATATATTAATCATATAAACATATACAGACATACATATATTCAATAAAAGACATGATAGATATATTTAATGAAAGGTATAATAGATATGAAGAAAAGTAAAGATGTTTTCTAAACTCATATTTCTTTCTGTCCCATATCATTCCA